CAATTATTGGAGGGAGGGCCAAAATCGTTTTGATTTTGTAGTCACATCGGTTATAGGTGAATGCAAGCAAATCCTCATACCAAATTTTCTATTGCTCCTTATTTTGTCTTTCAATTAGGACTAGCCCTATCTTTGCCATGCTTTAAGTTTCATGTCCCCTTTTTAAGCTAACTGTTGCAATTATTTTCTTTTCACATGGTGTCATACTCGATCATCTCATGCTGAGTGTAGGTGGAAAAGCTTCCAGGACGACTACAAATGTTAGTAATTCATTTGTAGAGTTCACAGCTATTGACATGGATATTTATGGCATTTGATTTCATAGGATGTGGGTCTGATCTCTTCTGCAGACCATGGGTATCGATTTATTTCATTTATAAATTACGGAGGTTGATCTTTTAGGGCTTCTTATTTTGTATCTCTGTGCATGAGCATTTCTTCTGAGATGCTTTTTGCCTTAGTCTAGCTATATCTTAAAGAAATCAGATTATTGTTATGTTTCCAGCTATGACTATTCTTTTTGAGAATTAAAACTCTAATTAGATTTTTTTTTATTTTTAAATAATGACACTTTAATTAGAAGGAGATAACACAAGCAAGAAGGAAGAAGTGAAGGATGATAGTTGATCACCTAATAAAGGTAAAAACAGGCTAAGATAATATCCAAGACTGCAATCTACAGTCTACACCTTCCATGGCCAAACAATTGGACAATCTGTAATCTCCTTTATTTCCCAACAGTTATGAAGCAATAGATAGGATGATTGCCACATAGCTCCTGTCATCGTCCCCAGTGCTTAAAAACTGAGTCTGACTTGGACTCGCTTGAGTGACTCGGAACCGGCACGCTGCAGGTTCCAAACCACCCTGACCTGGGTTACCGCAGTCAGGACTGAGTCATGACTGAATCTGCTCCAGTCTTGCCAGAGTCTGTTGGGGTCGTTTAGAAACACAGATTCTTGTCCGAGACTTGACCAGTCAGACTCAGGAATTGGCAAGCCAACTCAGATCCACCACCTGTCCAGTACTGTCCCCAGTGCTTCTACCAAAAATTTCACCACTCTTCAAGGCGCAGTGCCTCCTCTACTCCAATCTGATAACATCTGGGGAAATAGTCAATGTTAGGATAGATCTGCATCTCAGCTAAGGCAATAACTCGAACCACGGTGATCCTGACATAATCCACCAACCTGCTCGTCCACTTTCATACGTGGTCTGCTCATACTTATCTGGCTCTTGATTTTGACATTTCACTTTAGAACAACTAGCTTTGAAGTAAAATATTTCCATCTATTGCCTCTTAGAATGGTATTTTTAAATGAAAGAGGACTGAACACCAACTGAAATAATTATTGTGACTAGAGCTAATCCACATATGGAATACACAAAAAGGGCACAAAGTAAGTTGTGGAGTGGAATTTGATGGTCATGATTACTGCATCTTGTGTAGGATCCTAGGATTATATCCTGCATATGAGGGCTTTCAAAGATGTTTTAAGGACCCAATGTTAAAAAACATGTGCATCCTATATTTGTAAAAAAATAAAAAAGATAGCATGTGCATCCTATGAAAGAGAAAAACCCGGACATTTCTAAAATACTAGTGTGTCTGATCTCTTTTGAAACATAGAGACAAGGAACTTGTGAGCCAAGCATAACAAGATTCATCAATGACTTACCTGGACAATGAATTCTGCCAAGAACAGTGTATCGAGACTCGGTCGAGGCCACTCTAACTCGGCCGAGATACTTGGCTTTGCCCTAAGGGCAAGCAAATTTTATCTGAGTAGGGTGTACTGATTTTTAAATAGTAAATATATGTTATTATGTCAATTGTACGTCGTAAATGCTTGAACGGCCTTTTGGATAGTGTACATGCATGATTTTCGCTGCGGCTAGGGTTTGATTCCCCCCATGTAATGCTGCTTTACTCTTTTAGACCTCGTTTTTTCTTTTTTGTTTTTTAGGGTTAAAGAATAGGAGCCTGAAAAAAAAAGTGCTAGTGGGAATCGAACCCATGAGCTCTTAAAATGCAGCTTACAAAAGCGTATGACCCAACCAGTATGACATTCAATGTCTTATGTTAAAGTCAGGCAGGTTGTAGTATTTATTTTGTTTTTCCGTTTAAAAAAAAGAAAACGTGCATTGCAGTCGGGCGAGTTACTCGCCTTGGCCAAGGTCTGAGTAGCTTGGTCGAGTCAATTTTCTAAATACTGGCCAAGAAGTCTTTTTTTTTTAAAAAAAAAATAGTCAAGTACATCGTTGTTGTTGATTGTTGTCACCAATGTATATGCAATTCAGCAATATTTGGTGCAAACTTGTTTCCTTTACAGGCACCTACGAGATAGAGGTGTAACAGGTTGGGTCCCGGTTGACCCCATCTCGGACGCATCCCTATTGGGTCCTGATTGGACTTGGACCCTACTTAGACCCAGTTTGGGTCTAGATTATTGGACTGAAGGGATAGAATTTGAAATGAATCTATTCAATAGAACTTAGGCGTATCACCAATAGGCGATAAAATGAGGGAGAGTAGACTTAGGTGGGCTAGCCATATGTGGCGCCGACCAAGTACAACACCTGTTAGAAGGTGCAAGTTAGTTCAAGTGGAAGGACGGAAAAGGGCAAGGGGTAGGCCCAAAAGGACGTGGTTGGAAGTAGTCCGAAAAGATATGGGGACTTATGACATCATTGAGGATATGGCTTTTAATAGAGTAGAATGGAGAACCAGGATTCATGTAACTGACCCCAATTAATCCGGAAAAGGCTAAAATGATGATGATGATGATGAATATATAGATAGCATATAAGTAATAAATAGTAAGTGTATATATTATATGTAATATATTGGGTCGGGTTGACCCCAACCCAGACGACCCAATTTGGTCCAAGATGGACTTGGACCTAGACCCGACCCATTAGGTTCACAAACTAGGTCTAGAATCAGACTTGGGTCGTGGTTGACTTGTCGAGCTGCAGGTTGAACTGTCCTGATTGCTACCCTTTTTACTGGATGGTATCATTGACAATTCGATGGAAAATGGAAACGCTTGACTAGCCTCATGCATAACAAATGCCTAATAAGGGATTCCTCTTAGTGTGGAGACAATCTCCTTGTTTGAACTCTTTGGAATACGAAATAATGTACATATTTTCTTCCATTGAAATGCCTAGTGACTTCTTAATAACGAGGGATCGTGGCTGTTAACTTGTTTGGAAGAACTGGTTTTTGTGCAAAATACAAATTTGACGGTCGCTTCCTGTTCCCCTCTTTCTCTATCATATATATATATATATATCTACCTTTCTACCTTTCTAGAACAGTCTTACAAACAATATTCCTAAATCATGCGTAAATAGCCAAAATATAAACCTAAAATCAAAATGATTAAGAGAGATACAGGAGTAATGTCAATAGTAATCCAAGTATTATAAGTAGTTTGATATAGCTTTATACTAAGTACTGTACGTATTATCATACCAACTGTTTCTAATTCTTATCTCAATCTGTTACAAACAAATCAAACTTCAAACTGTTTATAAACTCATAAGCAAACAAACTTATCAAGCTGTTACAAACTCAAAACTCTTTACAATCCACAAGCTCAAACTTAACTAACAAACTAATTAAAAGCTCAAACTTGACTAACAAACTAACTAACTGTTACAACAGACAGACTGTATTACAGACTGACAAATAACGGAAAAAGAAAGTACTTACAACACACACAAACAATAACTGCAGAAATCTTTCCACTCTGGTGGACAGTGACTTGGTAATAGAGAGTGGTTACAATCACACATGGAGAGAATTTTCCAAAGAAGAAGAGAGAAAGAGGTTGCTCAGAAGAGAATGAGGAAGGAATTGCTAAGAGGAATTGCTCTCTGATTTTTTCCCGATGCCTTCGAATGAAGAGGTTCCTTCTATTTATAGAGGAAGGACGGTATGGATGGATGCCAGGTGGTGGACACGTGGTCGGTCTTGATTGTTGACCATTATTTGGGAATCTTTCTTTAATGGTGAAAGACAGGTTGACGAGATGTCTGGGGAATCTTGTGAGGACAGGTGGACTCAGCTTTGACGGTGAAGGAATCTTTTACAGGTGACTTTGTCTTTTAGCGTTAGTGGACACAGGTGGCATTTGTTGGTGGCTACTGTAGAGGATCACATCAATTTGCTTTGGGTCACATCTATTGTAGAGGGTCACATCAATTTGCTTTGGGTCGCATCTATCACATCTGCTTTGCTTTCTGCTTTTTCTATATGATATCCGAATTGTTCACAGAAGTCTCCTAATTCTTTTTTACCAGTCATCTTCTGTTTATCTAATTGTTTCTTTAATTTCATATCTGTGCATAAGGCTAATCCTTCTGCACATATTTCGGCAGATAATTCTCCTAATGTATAAACAGAATATGATATTATTCCTCCATTCAACAAATAGATATGGTAATCCAGCAACAAATTTTTCTTTCCAATGATCCTGTTGGCGAAAAGAAAACATCTTTGTACCATTTATAATGGGATAGGGTTGGACACCTCAAATTAGATAATAAATCTTCGGATCTAGCTTCAAGTAAAGCTGCACTCCCCACAAAATGAAGTGTAATGGTATAAATGAGAGTATTAACAACATCACTTTCAGAATAGAGGACATCTTGATTATTTTCATTTTTAAAAGTCCATTGACGAGTGTTATTCAGAATCTATGTTTTGGTATTTTCAGGTAAGTGAAAATCCCACCAACCTCGAAGCCATCCTGTGAAGCCACAGATAATGGCTTTGGCAACTTCTTGATCATGGTTGCCTACCATTTTGCATGCAGAAGCATACACGGTCATATGTTTCATGGTGTCTAATACCTGTTGTTCAGATAATCCATCTATATTCCAATGTACTATTGATCTTCCTGAATAAGAAATATTTTGGGCTACCAAATCTTCTTCGAATTGTATATCTACAGGGGTAGGTCTATGATGATAAGGCCTAGCTGTTAATGGTTTCCATGATTTTCCATATGTTATCCTTTGGATGTTATTGTTATCTTGGTGATGA